CATTGTCAAATGTTAATACTAATAATATACATAATAGCGAAAAGTTTGTAGCCGAGCGGAAAGTGAGTAGAATATTGCAAATTAAAAAGAATGTTGTCTATACAAACTTACAAATTCGCTTCTCACTACAGGGATCTCGGAAACGGTAAGAGGTACAAGGTAGCTTAAATGGGGGCAAAGTTGCGTAGTCAAGGGACTAACATTATGCCTCTAAAAAATCAAGGCTAACATGATTAGTTTTCGAAATATTTGAAAAAAACCGAAATTTTGAAAATTTTTTGTTGAATAAGGCTGAACCTTATTTGAGGTGATATTGAAAAAAGAAGAACACTTTCTCAAGGCGACTTTTTGTCCTCTAGCGAATGGCATAATCAATTTTTATATGTAACGTTTCGTCTCTCCAGGACCATCATCAACTCCATTTTCTTAAATACGGCCCTGGAAATTTTATTACATTTTTTTAAAGCTTTCATGACCCCCAATACTGTACTGCCTCAGCCCAAACCAGATTCAGACGTTTTGTCTCGAAAAATTCATCTTCAGTGTATTCGTTCCAAATTTATCTAAATTTTGTATTTAGATTTCTTTGTTTATTGAATTATCGTACACTGTAAGTGTCGTTAGACCCTATGAAATCCATCTAGTTATTTAAACTATTACCACCACACATTAAAATAAAACATTATTAGAGTTTTAATCCCGTGCCCATTGTTATTTCTATGCTTCTCGAGTACTATGGGTGAAATTTGGATTCAGCGCCCCAAAAAACCCCCATAACGATTTTCGGTTTGTCTTTTCCGACCGTGTCTGGAAAACCCTCGGAGACGACGTTCGGGGCCAGGTTCCGGTGCACCAGGTGTTCGGAGGGTCGTTTTCGACGTGAAATTCGGATTCAGCGCCCCTAAAAACCCCCATAACGATTTTCGGTTCGTCTTTTTCGATTGTTTGGGGAAAACCCTCGGAGATGAGGTCCACGTCCAGGATCCGGTGCACCAGGTGTTCAGGGGGTCGTTTTCGACATGAAATTTGGATTCAGCGCCCCAATAAACGCCACGCAATGATTTTCGGGTTGTTTTTGGCAATCTTGTCAGGAAAACTCTCGGAGATGTCGTCCACGTCCAGGTTCCGGTGCACCAGGTGTTTGCCGATGCCATATTTGAATTCAGTGACCCAAAAAAAACTCCATAACGATTTTCGGTTTGTCTTTTCCGACCGTGTCTGGAAAACCCTCGGAGACGACGTTCAGGGTTAGATTCCGGTGCACCAGGTGTTCGGAGGATCGTTTTCGACGTGAAATTCGGATTCAGCGCCCCTAAAAAACCCCCATAACGATTTTCGGTTCGTCTTTTTCGATTGTGTGAGGAAAACCCTCGGAGATGAGGTCCACGTCCAGGATCCGGTGCACCATGGGGTCGTTTTCGACGTGAAATTTGGATTCAGCGCCCCAAAAAACGCCACGCAATGATTTTCGGGTTGTTTTTGGCAATCTTGTCAGGAAAACTCTCGGAGATGACGTCCACGTCCAGGTTCCGGTGCACCAGGTGTTTGCCGATGCCATATTTGAATTCAGTGACCCAAAAAAAAACCGGGCGCCGAGTTTCTCTCCTTCCCCGCGTGAATTTTGGGAGAGTCCCACGGAGATGACGTTCATCGGCGTTCCTGAGCTCCAGGTCGGCTGTGGGTCAATTTGAACATCATAATCGTGATCAGCGACCTCCAAAACCCCCGGGTACCCGATTTGGGCCAGTTCTGACTCTTATTTACGAAGTTATTAAATCTTCCACAAGCCGTCTCAAAAAATGCATTTTTTCAATGCATTTTTGGCTGCAGCAATGCATTGTATAAGATACAAAGTAGATACATTTTTTACAAAAAATTTTTGGAAGCGAATGCAAAAAACCGCATTCCGATCCGTTTTAGTACAAAAAATTCCGAGCCAGTCTGTAGATATATGCTTATATGTTTCCTACTCCAATTTCCCATTCATTAATTTTTTATAAACACTTTCATGTAAAAAACGCATTTTTTTAGTTTTTTGCTTAAAAATCCTGAACTAATGAAACAATCTGAATGCTATAAAGAGACAATTTGTATAGAATCGAAATACGAATAAAACGAGAGGTAGATCGATCCAATCGGATAATTTGAAACGAAGAAAACCCGGAAAAATTGGAAAATAGTGTTTTTTTAAATCATTATTCCATCATTTTTTAAGTTGCAGAGCTGAACCCTGTACACAAAAGTAGTGAATTATATGTACTTCAAGTGTGCACTATCGGACCATTATTTTTGGCACAATTGCAGTTGGAATTTTTTGATGCACTATTTTGCATTTCTGGGTGCGTTGGAGGTGGACCGATTTTAATTGTTCAGCCGGATTTTAAAAGTAGAAGTATAATAACAAAAAACATTCATATTTAATTTTAAGTTTAGTTTTTTTATTATATTTCTGGAATATTTTTCGAATTTTTAAATTTTTGTTGATAATTAGATATCGTTTCTTTGATTGTATTATTTATCTAAAGTTAGTGCTGTTTTTTAATTTAAAAAAATATATTTTCAAAATATTCGCGACCTATAAGTGAAAATACCTTAGACTGCAAGGAATTGTAACTTTTGTTGCAATTTACACCAGTCTCCCCATATAGAAAAATGCGTATTAGTAATCTTCAAATGCTGTGGAAACCTGCCTTTCGTGAAACGAGTGAAATATATTTTTGCAAATCAACAGTGCGGTACGATTGTTGTATCCAAACGAAATACAAAGTAGTATTCCGAAATTGATTTACGATTAGCCCGTTCACCAATTGCCTTCAAGTTTGTACAGTATACGACCTATAAATCCGCTGAATTTTATCGCACACATAAATCGCCAAACAATAGAACGGTTTTATTTGTGGCACCCTGACCTGCAGTTCAATTATTCAAATCGGACGTAAAACTAGATTTACTTAATTGCATGGAATTTTATTTCTGCCACTTTTACACACCGCATCCAACTGCAGGACATTACGACGAAGAATAAATAAAAATCAATATCTCCCGTACGACTAAGTTTCGGTAAATAATGTATCAGTCATTTGTTTCAGTTTTTTTTTTAACTGGAGTTGAAGAAAATGCAGGGCGTTCTACAAACTCTATGACAAACTTTGGCAGATGGTAGCTGGATTAATTTCAAACATTTTTTCTCATATGGACGTAGATCCGATTCGTTTTTGTTTAGAAGTTACAAGCATTTTCAAAAATATAATTTCATATTTCAATCAAAGTAGTAAGTAAGTAAGTAGTGATAAGTAAAAATGAAAAAATAATAAACCTATAATACCTCAGTGAAAAACGATCGTTCAAAAAAGCATTTTAAACTTTTAAGTCTCTAGTTTCAAGATCTTTAGACAAAACAATTTTTTGAGCTACGGTTATCGAGCAATCATAAGAAATACACCGAGAAAAAAATCTTTTTTTTTAGTTGTATCAGTTTTTATTAAAAACATAGTTAATTAAAAAATACCAAATGATGTCATAAAGGCATAAGTTTGCAAGACTGTGATGGTTAAAATTGTAATTATGAATATTTTTGAAATATACATAATAAAATATCTTTCATTTTAAATTTATATTTATTACAATCGCCCTTTGATACCTCCAATTTGTACAGAAATGCCATATGAACAAATAGTGCATACGCTCTTATTCATTAATAACAATTAATTAAAATTACTTGTACAAATATGTATTGTTAAAAGAAGAAAAATCGAATTTAATTCAGTTTGAGTTAATGTAAAGAATATTGACAAAATTCTTAATAGGTACCATAAGTGTATTTTTACTCATAAAATTAATAAACACGTTTTTAATGGAGTTGAAAATTTTTTGTCTTCTAGTCTCTATATTATGTTTACAAAGTCTTTGAATACGACCCAACAGAAAAAGGGGTAAGGAATCGAGTATAGCTAGCTGATTGGTTGATTTAAATGTAGCGCTCTGCAGTCGAAATTCTGTGAACGAAACTTAAGCCCTTACTACCTCTCTCTCTCTCTCTCTCGCACAAGTCTGAGCGATTGCCGTTTATATAAGCAAAATGACAGTGGGCGAGTCCAGTAGTTTATAAGGTCTATGGACCACATAGCAAAATTGCATATTTTTTCTTCAAATTTAAAAAATACTACATTTATTGTCATTACTCTCCGTTTTTCCTTGCATTCGTTAAATTCGGCGAGCACTTCTTCATAATGTTCCCTGGATTTCGCTGGCAATAAATGGAACATTGCATCTTAAAATCCTTCAAAAACAGCGACAGGAACATTCTTGCATTTTTACCAAATTCAGATAGAATTCTTTATTAAATAATTGATTATAAACAACGTACCATAGCAACCAGTAGTTATAATAAAACCTACCACGTTTCATTGAGTACTAGTAAGAAATATTAAGTCGTGTGAATATTTTTTTATTAAATTCCAATAATTCTGTCTCCACAAATATGATTGTGATGTGATTATGGATAAAACGTTGTATTGCATTCGTGTTTTAATTGCCTTTTATCCACTTAAGAATATTAAACGCTCGAACTCAAACATTCTTGCGTGGATAAAATGCTACTTAAATCACTTATACAATAAATTAATTTATCCGTTTTGCGCAAGATGGTTTCTACTACTGTCCATGTCAATTTTTGCAACATTTTGGTAACATTTCTGTTTAAAATGTCTGTTACTTTAATGTGTCGTCCAGTAGTATAAGATTATTAACAAGTTACTATTAAAATTGTCAATCTGTTACTTTCTAACTTTAAAGTCACATCACCAACCACCTGATTGGGTCACAATTACCGTTATTTTGTACCCTAGTGAAAAAGGTACTTTAAAGACACATTTTAGCGATATCCTTAGCTACTTTTTAATAGGGACTTTTGAGAAGAAGTATTTTAAAGGCAATTTTCAAATTAAGAAGTAAATTTTAAAATTTTGAGTTGCTTTAGTTCTATTTTCTCATCCAATAAGGCAGTTGTTATTGCTGTTATTGATCTTGCTGGTGCTGCCGCTTCTGTTGTCGTTGTTGTTGAAATTGTTGTTATTGATGCTATTGATCTACAAGACCAATATCAACAACAACAACACCAGCAGCAGCAAGAACAACGACAGCAACAGCATGTACATCAGCAGCAGCAGCAGCAGTAGCAAACTAAAGTAGACTTCTTTAATCTATGATCAGAGTATTCCTTACTAAATCTTATCTTTTACACTAATTCTAACTACAAGTTACAATGACTAAGATATTAGTATTTGTCAGTTTCTGTGTCAATTGAGCACGTACTGACATCAATGTAACTAATTAAAAATATTTCATGATAATTCGACCACAATTTTATTTGATTTTGTAAAATCATTGGGAAATAGAGAGTTTAAAGCAAATACATTTCAATTCACTCATTCATTTTCTTTAGAATCTATCGATACCGAACACAACAAACTCGTACTTTTGTTTAAACTTCGGGGCAATAGAATTATAATGTATTATATACACAAATATTATTGCCAATGAACACTGACATTCAAATTCCTCAGTTGTAAATACGACTAAAAATACCCGTCATTCTCTCCTGCGAAATCAGCGTTCCGTTTCAACAGGAAAAGTCCTGAAATAATAATGCGCGACCGAGACGAGCAGGAAGCGACTTGCGAGCACGGGGAAATGGGAGTTTAAAAATGACCGGCAATCAGCGGGGCAGATAGAGAACGCGCGGAATGAGCCCTGGATAGATCTTTCCCGCAGTGATTTCGTGTGCCAGTCCGTGAATGCAGCGGAAAAATTACTACCGCGGCTTTAATTCTGCTAATTGGAAACCACGGAAATAGGAACTTCTACGCGGATGGTCTTGATGAGTTATCGCTGGAGATTCAACAATTCCAAATAGAAAAACAGAAACAATTCTAAAGAATTCGTTTTTTCCAAGTTGTTTTTTACGAAGCAAAAAAATTGGAAGAAACATCAAAATCAATTAAATAAGAACACTTGGAAAAATTCTTATTATAATGTTTTTCATTTTTGTTAAACTCAACCAGTCTGACACACAAGGTATATACAGTACGCGAATAAAGTATGGAATAAATTCAGTAAAATCGAAACAAATTTTTTTTGGGAAAAATACTCGAACAGGTCGATTTTTAATTATTTACTACATATTTTAACATAAAAGGCGATGTTCAACCGTCATTTGTTTTCGAGTAATGACGTCATCTACATTTTTTTTTGTAATAAAATGTTGCCATCTTACATAGGAAAGTTAAAAAATTAACAATTCCTATATCAAGCATATACAATTCATTCAGTTTTCTACCTAAATTAACTGTTCGAATTGCCACCCACCGACTTCTTGACGACACGCAAGTCTGTGTAGAAATTCTTCTTGCACATTATGAATTATTTCTGAGGTAACTCTGTGTATTTCATCTATATACAATTTTGGAGTTCTTCTAAATTATGTGGTTGTCTTGCTGAAACCATATGGTGTCATCAGGAATATAAGGGTCATTATCGTTAGGAAAAATTACTGCAAGCGCTGGAACAAGGTCATTTTGTAAAAACTCTAAATATCTTTCTCCTGTAAGGGTTCCTTCAAAGAAGAAAGGCCCTACTATTCTGTTGTCAACTATTCCAGCCCACACATTTAATTTCTGTGGGTGTTGGGTATGTGTCTCTGCCATCCATTGAGGATTTTCCCGACTCCAATACCTGCAAGTTTGACGGTTCACTGTACCATTGAGACAAAACGTGGCCTCGCCTGAAAAAAGTATTTGCCGGTGTAAATCTGTATTCACTTGACATAAATCTATCATAATTCCACAAAAGTGTAAGCGGCGGTCGGGATCGTCTTCACTGAGTTCCTGCATAAGTTGAATTTTGTAGGGATGATATTTTTCCTGCCTCATGATACGTAGCACTGTGGTCTGACTAATTTCATTGTTTAATGCAACCAATCGTGAAATATTATGAGGATTATCTATCATATTTATCAAAATGTTCTGCCTGTGATCTTCACTAACGCTTGGACGTCCAGATTTTGGAATATCTACAACATTGCCAGTTTCTCTAAATTTAGATTCTATCTTACTGACTGAAATAAATCGCAAACTTCTTGCTGCGTTCTAGTCTTATCCCCGCATCCGATTAGAATTAAAATTTCAATTCTTTGTGTGACAGTTAAATGTGCCATAATACTTTAAATTCAACAATAATTTTTATATCGTTTACAATACTTAGAAATTTGGTATGACAGTGACATTTTGTAAAGATTTACACCTACGTGATCCAAAAAAAACTTCAGTCATTTCGAAAAACTAAATTTGATAACGTTTTTGCTTTATTTTAATTGATTTGGGTTTTCTAACATTCAATCGTCATTTACTCGAAAACTGTCCTATGTTAGATGGCAACATTTTAATAATGTCGGATCGACAATGAAACGCTCTTTCAGAATCAAGACAAAAATAGGGAGTTGCTATTTAAAAAAAAACGTCGATGTCATTACTCGAAAACAAATGACGGTTGACAGTCGCCTTTTATGTTAAAATATGTATTTTTTTTAATTATAAATCGACTTGTTCGAGAATTTTTCCCAAAAAAAAGTTATTTCGTTTTTACTGAATTTATTCCATACTTTAGGCGCGTACTGTATTTATAGGGAGGTTACCTTTGACATTTAGAAAAACATATTATCATAAGTTTGTTTCCTCAAACTGATGATAATAGAAAAACAGATTTTTTTCCAAATTATCGTACCCAGTCACTGGACAGGCTAGTGGGACTTTAAACAATCACCTACAAACAATAACAAGTCGTCTAACAGAAAACTTAAACTAACAAATAATCTGTTTACTCACCTGATTTCTATAGCATATGGTCAAAATTTCCTTCATTGTCCAAACATTCCTCAACAAGTCTGTAATAGTCTCTGACTTTATCTTATTAAGATCCATCTTCTCTCACTTAATCTCTTAAATGTCGAACCAATCTTACAAACATTTTCTTATTTAATACTTATAGGTTGCGATAATCCTTCTGATATCGTCGTCTTACAACAACACCGATTTCTCTTGACAAAGGGTAAATTCTAGAACTTAGCAGTTTGCTTTTTACCCGTTTATCATCTCGTCATATCATACCATGTGTGATGTCAACTGGCAGTAGCAGATTTTCAGAGGCAACACGGCTATATAACTGAACAGAGGAGGCTAGCCTCCACTGCTTGTAATTTTCTTGCCTTTCATCTATTTTGGATTAATTTAACTTTTTTTTGGAAGCAGAAACTTGAATATATATTTCCGAAGGATTTCAGTATTCACAATTACCTAGGGCTACATAGAAAGAGCCGCTAAAGACTACAGTAGCCCAGCGATGTAAGGGTTGTAAATATTACAACTTCAATAATTTTTTTCTCGGGATTTTACAAAAATTTCTTAAGATATTGACTATTTTTCATGATGCTTCTATTCCCAAATTTTTTTGGATAAGTTGTGAATCACCCTGTATACTTGAAATTTTATTTCAAATAAAATTACCAAAAATAATTTCTGCCAGTATTATATACTCTGTGGTAATGTTTTAGCAGTACCACCTAATATTTTGACAACTTTGGATTAAAGTTCATAATAGGTTGTCCCAATCTCTTAAGAAAACTTAAAAATTTTTGAAACTACAATGCCTAGTCCTTTGTATACTTTTTTAACTTTTCTTTAAGCTTTTCTGCATTTCCTTTTTTTATTAAGGTACGGTCTTTCAATAAGCTTTTCATGCATCTTATTCTAAATAAAATAAACCAAAACTGTCAGTAATAGATTAATTATTTATTTACTTTTCAACTATATTCTTATGCCATACTTTGGACTATCTTTGTGTTGTCTCTGGCAAACGAAACTGTTTACGTTACAGGTTAGTTTTTTGTTTGTATTTAATCGACCCGACAAACATTTCTGGTGCCAGATAATTTAGAAACATTTTAACAGGATCACATTAAGCATTTCAACTATCTCTTTGAATATTTATTTATTACTTGTCCGATACCCTTACAGATTGGCGTATTGATTTTAGACTGGCATATTCAATTTCTTATTATCGACGAACCAGACCTCCGCATAATTCATTTCAAAGGACGTCTGCGACAAATAAAACTAGACTTCGATTTTATGTGATTATTATTGCATTAGGACTCTCTAGCCTTCCGTCTCCGGAAAAGATTGTAACTCTACTTTAAAGGTAGTATCTCCGAAACGAATATTCAAACTAAGGCTATTTTCAATAAAAGCATGCGAAGAACTCCCTGTAACTCCTGCAATACGACACAACTCGCGATAAGAATTTTTTTGTCCTACTTCGTCCCGTCCTGGTCGGAGTAGATCCAAGTTATGGTCCAAGAGATACGACAAAGTCAAATTTAGTTTTGGTGTATTTAACCAGCTAAGCGAAAATCCCCTGGAGATAAGATCGGGTATAATTCGCATTCTAATTTAAACTCCAGAGACACTACACAGCCCTAAAGATAATCTTTGCGCAGAGCATTATCGGGACTGCTCAGGGAAAATATACGGAGACCACTAGACGCCATATTAAGTAATAAATGGGGCGCTGACAACGTTTTAGCCTACTACGTTTTATTAAATATATGTCGCTGAGCAAATTCATGGTATTTTAGGTGAGAGGTACTAAGTGGGTGCTTCGGTTGTGTCGTTTGGAAGAAGGGTTTCCTTATTCAATGTTTTATCATCTGGATACACTTTATATTTGAATACTTACCATATAATATGTAAACCAGCAAATTCAGGTGAGCGGAAATCGTAAGTAGAGCATAGCAGACTGCGCATCTTTTTCGGTCTGCTGAAACCCTCCACAATTTTAATACATAATCTTTAATATTTACATGTAAAAGGTAATTATACACAGCCCCACAGCGAAAAAATTTTATATATGATGGGCTAGAGCCCCATATCCAAACGTTTTTGGGCTAAATCCGAATCCGATGTTCGTTTGAAGAAGTTAGCTCATTTTCAAGATTATTTCAACTCTTATTTTTTGTCCCCGGATCCTGAAAGAGTGAGAAGAGACTACGTTCGGAGAGTGGTTGAGTTAGTTTTTTATTTTCAAGCTCATTTGAAGGTTACACCACCTAGATTTGATCTTGATG